TTCAATATCATCTGATATCTTTTCAGTGGAAAAGTTTAACACATACATGTTAAACAAGACTTTTGATAGCTGCAATTTTTTGTAGATTTTACTTTAAAACTTCTATATGTCTAACTTTTCCCACCTATTTTCTCACCAATTTTTTAAAGTTGATTAAATCTGACAGGTGTTCTTTATTTCATTATTCAGTTTTTCTCTTCTATACTTTTGGAAGTTATGCATTCATTTCCTATTCTTTTATTAGTTATGATTAAATTTTTCCCAGCATGTATAACAAAGTCCTAGCTCAGTAACTCCCAATAATGCAGGGGTCTTAGAATACTTTCATTCTAGTCATTTTCCCTTCAAACTTCATAGTAGCACTGCCCAATACCTTAGTCTTCATCACCTAGGCCAGTGGCATGATCATGGTTCACTGAGCCTCACCCTCCTGGGCCTAAGTGATTCTCTCATGTCAGCTGCCTGAGTAGCTGGTAGCTGGGACCACAGGCGTTCGTTCACCACTATGATCAGATCATCTTTTGTTTTTTTTTTTTTCAGTAGAGACGAGGTCTTGGTATGTTGCCCAGGCTGATCTCATACTCCTGGGTTCAAGCCTTGGCCTCCCAACTGCTAAGATTACAGGTGTGAGCCACTGTGCCTCATCTAGTCTGTTCCTTTTTTAACTGCATAAACAAGACAGGCAATGTTCGTTTAGATTTTCTCAGATGTTTCCCTAGTCTTCACTTATTAGAAAATGTCTTTGCTTTGCTCTTATTCTTGGGAGATAGCTTTGATGGGCAGACAATACAAGGTTGAGTATTTGATATTTTTTCAAAATTCTGAATAATATTCCTCCTTCCTCCAGTTTTCATTGTTGCTAATAAAAAGTCTGTCAACCTAAACGTTTTTGTGAGTAGTTGATTTCTTTGCAGTCTCCAGCTGCTCTTAAGGATGTCTCTGGCATTTTCGCTTTTGCTACAATGTGTGTGTAACTGAATTTATGTGCATACTTCATCCTGCTTAGTGTATGCTATGCTTCTTTGTATCTGAGTATTTATGTCTTTCATTAGTTCTATAACGTCTTTTTCCATTTTCTTCTCAAATACTGATTACCTACTCTCTATATTTTCTTTCTTCTAAAACTCTGACTAGATGTATGTTAGAAAAGGTCGTTATATTCCATGTCTTATTATATGCCCTTGACATTTTGCATCTCGTTGATCTCTCTTAAATATTCTAATGCCTTATTCTGATTAATTCATTTGTTCTCTTTAATTGTCTAATAAGTAGTTTAATCAATCCAATGTTTTAAGTTTCAAGAGTTATTTCTTAATTGACACAATGTTAGTTGTTAATTTTTTTGAAATCTTGATAATTTTCTTTAATTTTACTTTAAGTTCTGGGATACATATGCAGAATGTGCAGGTTTGTTACACAGGTATACATGTGCCATTGCTGCACCTATCAAGCTGTCATCTAGGTTTTAAGCCCCCCATGCATTAGGTATTTGTCCTAATGCTCTCCCTTCCCTTGCCCCTGACTCCCCAACAAGCCTCAATATGTGATGTTCCCCTCCTTGTGTCCATATGTTCTCATTGTTCAACTCCCACTTGTGAGTGAGAACATGTGGTGTTTGGTTTTCCGTTCCTGTGTCAGTTTGCTGAGAATGATGGTTTCCAGATTCATCCATGTCCCTACAAAGGACATGAATCCATCGTTTTTTATGGCTGTATAGTATTCCATGATGTATAATTGTCACATTTTGTTTATCCAATCTGTCATTGATGGGTATTTGGCTTGGTTCCAAGTCTCTGCTATTGCAAATAGTACTGCAATAAACATAAATGTGCATCCGTTTTTACTACAGAATAATTTAAATCCTTTGGGTATATACCTAGTAATGTGATTGCTGGGTCAAATGGTATTTCTAGTTCTAGATCCTTGAGGAATTGCCACGTCTTCAATGGTGGTTGAACTAATTTTCCCTCCCACCAACAGTGTAAAAGCGTTCCTATTTCTCCACATCCTTGCCAGCATCTGTTGTTTTCTGACTTTTCAATGATTGCCATTCTAACTTGCATGAGACAGTATCTCATTGTTGTTTTGATCTGTATTTCTCTAATGACCAGTGATGATGAACTTTTTTTCATGTTTGTTGGCCACATAAATGTCTTCTTTTGAGCAGTACCTGTTCATATAGTCTCATGTTGTTTAATCATTTTTAACTGTAACTTTCATATATTTGAATGCTTATGAGTATTTTATAACTGAAAACTCCTGTATCTAAAGTGACTGGGCATCTACATCTATTATTTGTGTTTTCTTCTGATTTCACCTATGGTGGCTTATTTTCCTGCTTATATGGTGAATTTTCATAATTGTGAGCTCATATAAAATTTATCTGTATCTATCAATATCTTGGAGGTCAAAATTGGAGTACTTTTTCATACACAAATTTGTGTTTAATGACATCAGAAGTCAGAGGAAGGCACTAATGTAAAAACCCTAGCCACTTTCAAGATCTAAGTTTAAAGCAAAATTCAGATTCAACCCCTTCTCTCTATGAGTAACTCCAGGCTTAGTCTTCTGATCAAATGCAGTATCGACACTGGCATTTGCCCTCAGTATAATCTCATACTTCAAGCTTACTCTTCACTTCTCCCTAGTCTGCATTTAGTGCAGTCTGGTGAAAGAGAGAACAAAGGCTCCAAAATTTTTCCTTAATTCGTAGAAGTCTGGAAATGCATTGCAAAATACATTTTATCTAGTACAGCTGTTTTGTAGGGAAGTAACACTCCTACTTCTACCAAAAATGTTATAACACTGAAAATTTTGATAAGAAAAATAACAGTCAATAGAGAACGGGTACACAGTCGAATTAAATGATACATAATAAAAGAAATGCAGTGAGCAAGCCACTCATTAGTGAAATATAATAACTCAGTCATAATAGGAGTTTGAGGTATTATAAGTAAATACTAAAAATTAAGAGAATGGACCAAATCCGTTGCTGACTAGATCATGCTTGCAGTTCCACCATGTTTAACTTAGTTCTTAAAAAGAAAACACCCATGCAATGGAATCGATACTGAGATTTTCACTCAGCTCTAGACCAACTCTTCTGCCTCTCAGCTATAGTCATTTTATAGCTAAAGGATTTCACATATTATACCGTTCATGGCTTATGCTAATTTTTACTATACTCTTAAGTCTTCTATATAAAGCACTCAAAAGCATAGCATATTTCACAATAACACAGAACCATGGCAGAAGTTTCCCAACATGAATAATCTGAGTCAACAAATTTAATTATAAAGATAATATGTGATAAGGTAAACTTGTCCTCTTATTCTATCTTAAAATGGGGCATTTTTGAAAAATGCTTTGATAGCAGATCAAGTTCTAAACATCCATGTGACTATGTCCTTTCACATCTCTGGGTCTACCATTACTGTTCAGCTTTCAGTGGAGTTTCTTTATCTTTTTTACTAAGCTGTGACTTCTGAAATTGTAAGGCTCCAAATTTCAAATATCTCTGTAATAACTCATAAACAGATTAGAGATAAACTACTCAGCACCTTAAAGGATCTCTGGTCAGACAACTACATCAGGATTTAAACATAAGTGTAAGAATATTTTAATGCCCTAGGGACAAGTGCTATTTAACATTTTAGCTAATAAAATGCTGAGAAGTTCACTTACATTCAAAATGAACAGACAACTGTCATTTGGTATAGAAGCCTAGGTCCTCAGAAGGGTTCCAAGATCATATAATAGTGAAGGATTAAAATGTAACTCACCTTGGAAATTTCAGCTTATTCATAACTACTGTGAAACCAAAAACTCACAGGGATCTCATTTACATAAAGATATTCACTGAGCTCCCATTAGGCATCCTGCCACTGTGCTAAATTGTGCAGATACAGTGATGAACAAGAAAAGAATACTTCTCTTTTCTCTGGAGCTTACTTTCATCACTGAATATTAACTAAATTTGGACATTATTCAGTAATAGTCTTATTCATACTTTTATTTCTTGGATGATTAGTTTGTTTACCTAAAGCATGTGAAAACCCTGTTTTCCCAGACAGATTCTCAAGAAATGCCTCAGCTGCATCAATAGAAAAATAACTTGTCCAAATGTTCTGGTAGCTAGATGTATCAGAATGTGTGTGTGTGTGTGCGTGTGTGTGTGTGCATGCATGTGGGTGTGCAGGTCCATAATGTATATATGTTCTGGCTGGTTTCCTCATGATTAAAGAAAATCATGATTTCTCAAAAAAAAAAAGCTGTAAAAAGAATGAACTATCTGATTTTTATATCACTCAATAAATGTACATGCACAATGTGCACATGCGCACATATCCACACTAGTAAAGCTCAGAAAGCAGCTGATGTCTGCGAGCCTCAGAAACAAATTAACATGCAGCTAACATCAGAGGAGCCAGAAACACTCATTGCAAGTGTGAACACATATTTGATTGCAGGACTGTGTCTTTCCCAGGGCTGACCTTATAAATTAAACAGTGTAAATCTCAAGTAAGTGTTTTCTGAACATTTTGATTCACTGTGAACATTGGGATGCCCTTCAAATTAACATTCCATGTTATTAGCCTATTGTTGGACATGAACTGCTCCATTACTGGTGACTGAAACAACATACACACTCGCACTAACACTCAGCTTTTAAAAGGAATGGAAGAAACTGTCTAAATATCCTGGGATGTAAAAATTGAAGTGAATAGATTTTTTTAGAGTGATATTGACACAGTAAGTAAAGCTTTCTACTTTGATGCCCAGAGGCATAATAATGAGAAAGTACCTAATGAGCAGTAAATAATACCTGAAAGCAGGGTACCACCACTGTTTTGATGAACTAATTCCTATTTATAACCAACTCTCAGTTTAAATGCTCCCTGCTCAGGAAGGCATTTCCTAATCCACCCTATTCGGTTATGTTATCATTATATTCAAACACACTGCCTTGTACTTCGTCTTTTTTTTTTTTTAATATTCATTCCCTATACAGACTGTCAAAAATTGTCGACGCCGACTATATTGCAAGTCGTCATGGCGGGGTATTGGGAAAAGTTTTCAATTAGCAATAATCGTCCCTCAGATAAACATTGGCTACGATACTGCCACTGCACAAAGCTTGTACTTCATCTTTTATAACACTTACTATTCTTGTAACCATCTAAGTGTCTCATCTTCCCTATTAAACTGTACGTTCCATGAGGTCACTGACTATGTTTTCTCTTGCATATTCAATGCCTCATACAATAGGATTTTTGAAATTAATTAATTAAGGAATGGGTACATAAATGAAATAAAAATGCATATCCTATACTTATCTTAAATTATAAAATATTAACTGAGAAAGTTAATGTTTATAAAGAGAATAGGGTGAACACAGAAGGAAAACACAAACATGTCCCACATCCATTCCAGAATCTTGAATAACTTAAGCAGTTTTACCTGCTTGGAGGGGCAAGTGTACATCCCAAATCACAAATATTACAAAAATTCTCATCTTTAGATTACTGTTTGCATACCAAATAAGGATGTTGCAGGATTATTCAAAGCTAGAAGAATATATAATCTCATTTTAAAATAAAAATGAGCAACGCTTTCTCAAAATTTTTTCTCAGAATAGAGAATAGGATATATTTATAATAGAATCTCTAACTTGGGAGCTGCTCTGTCAAAAAATATAGCATGTGGAGTCACATTTAATAAGGACAAATAAATAGACTATGGTAAATTGGTAAACTCATCAGCATTATTAGAATCACTGTGAATTTAAAAATACAATCAGTAAATGGTATAAAACAAGTATGAAACACAAGAGCATAGTCCTAAAGAAGGAACCAAATAAAAATCTATAGTGATCACAGCTATAACTATATCACCTGCAAATCTCTGATGATCTTCTATGTGGTCTTCTCTTATAACTTCCCCAAGTCATCAGAATCACTCCCAACAGCTCCTAGTTCAGCCACCTTTCTGTGGATTTCTTCTATTATTTTGTTTCTATATCCCTCCCACCCTCCTATGACTTACCTGTAGTGTCGGGAAATCTCTTCTTCCACCTGGGTAATAAAATCACATTTGGTACATGAGTGTTCTTTGCTTTCCTTGACAGCCTGCTGCCCATCTGATCCTTGCAGGTGATTTGCTTCTTGTTTGACATCCGACGCTTGGGACTCATGCACGCTCTCATAGTGAAAGAGGAGTATGTCTACATCAGGGGTGGTGAATGAACACTGGTGGCACTGGTGTTTGACTCTCGAGCTTCCGGCCGCCCCAGGAGACAAATGCAGAAGCAAGAGCGCACAGTGGGAACAATTACTTTTTCTACAAGCAAAGGGATAAGTAATTTCTCCAAGGTGCTTTTCTGGGCTGCAAAGTCCTCTGGGACAGAATGGACAGTGTTTAATGGTACACTTGTGAATGTTATGGAGCTGTTGATAATGACGGAGAAGTGGCCCCACTACAATTACATCGGGGCCATGGCTTTTGGAATATCGGAAGTCACAGAACTGACAATTATAGCTCGTTACCATATTATCCTCAGCTCCCTTGCTGGAGAAGTCCTTCTTTTTAGCCCCACTCGAACTCTTGTCTGCCTTGATCATTGTCTCTCCTTCTGAACTTTTGGCTAGATCATTCTGATTAATGACAGAGCCCCTGGAAAGCTTATCATTCAACTCTGGATTAAGGCCGCCTGACTGCACTGCTCCATGCTGCTTGCCATAATGTTCTAGCAGTTTAAGTGAGCTAGATGACTCACAGCTGAAACTACAAAATTTACACCAGTAGTAACTGGTGGCCTCTGTACCATTTTGTCTCGAGGAATCGAGGGGCTTGATGGGCACTGAGTACCCAACAGGAGTGTCATCTCCCGCTTTGACTGTTATCTTGTCCTGCCATTTTCCCAAGTCTCCAGAATCACTGGATCGAAGTGCAGGGATGGACTTGTTAGAGTTTTTCTCTGAAGATTTTACAACCTCAGAAGAGGGGAGAGAAGCTTTTATTTTGTTTGGGTGAGTTTGAAGAAAATGTTGTTCTAATTCGGTGGATGAGTTGCCCATATATGTAAAATTGCAGAATTTACAGCGGAAATACTTGGTGTTTCCTTGGCAATCTGGTGTTTTCCGTCCAATGCCAATGAATGTTCCACCTGAAGTCACCTGGAAAACAGAACAAATGGACATTACTTCCAAGGCATCATTAATTCAAGGGGCTCTCTGCAAGGGAGGGGGAGGATACTGCCAAGTATTGCACATCAAAAAATACAATAGTACTCCTGCTTATTATGAAATCACTTGAATAATCAGAGCCAAATAAATTCACTCTTCATTTCTCAACAGCTACTCTTTGAGAGGCTTATTATGCTAAACACTGGAGGACAAAGTAGCAGGTGAAGGTAAGTAATAAATGCACTATAATTTGAAAGACTGAATAATACATTCTTTAAACTAAGAAAACAATTTTCAACAGGGTATGATTTACTATTGCCTACTTAAAATCACATTTCTTCAGAATCATCCAAATCACACGGGATGTTTTTTCAAAAGGTGAAGGGTTACTGTCAAAACTAGAGGCAGTTGCTCGGAAACTACTCAATGCAGATGTTCTCCAAGGAAATATTCTGTTCAGTACCTATGGCCATGAGGCTTCAGGCAAAGAAGAAGTCTCTGTTCTGGGTAAAATAAAGGTGCTCAAGTGACTACCCCAAATGGCTTATAATTAAAGCACAGTGAAACTACAAAAAAAAAAAAAATGAATTGAGTATGCAGGAAATACTAGTGAAGGAGAACCAGTTAAGAATTTCAAATGTTTCCCAATCTGGAACAAACAAAAAGAAAAAAAATCTTCCATGGTCTTATGCCCTTATTTGTTTAAGGTTCTGTCTGATTGCAAAGGGCTCCCAACTTCTCATATGAGTAAGTCATGGAGATGTTTGAATATTAAAACAAAATAATTCCACCATAAAAAATCACTACATGTCTTCTTTCTTTCCCAAATTATGAAATTGCATGGTTATCAGGACTATGAAAGCCTTCAAAGGGCACTTTACATAAAATCCTTCCTCCATTCTCAGTGTGTACCTCAACAGGCAGTACAATTAAACCACCAGCAAGCAGCCAAAATTCTGAGTTTAAAATAGAATTTTTGAATGAAATATTCCAAAAAGGGAAAAATTTTCTCTTCCAACCATCATGGAATTTTTTAATTTTCCCAGCAACCAGATGTAATATATTAAGCAAGTGGCATAATCATGTTCTGCCTTCTTCAACAGCTGTTCAAAAATGACACGTGTGATCACTGTTCATATCCAAATCACTCCATGAGAAAAGTCTCAGGCATCTCAAAATCATGTAAAGACTCTACTTGAAATGCAAATAATATTTTGGCTGTACATTGAGAGATATGTTTGTAGGTCTATAGTACAGGGCTAAAATTGGAGTCTTCCTTTTGCTACCTAAAATGATACGTGACCTTGATCAAGTTGCTTAAACTCTCTGGCCAATAGCTTATTCAATTGGGGCAAACACTAAATTTATGTCCAGTATTATAATTCTAGGAAATGTACATTAATACTTAAACAACTCAACATTACTGCACATTACGATAGTAACTTACAAAAGTTTCCCACAGCCTTTAATCAAAGGATGTAATGTTTCACATTAGGCAATGTCTATAGCTGCCACCCCAAACACATAGAATTCAGTCTGTCGATGACAGAGCATCAACTAACCAGAAAGCCAAGAATGGACACCCTTCCAGGCAGCAACCTGGCAATCATTCAATAGTGTGAGAGGAGGTGTCAAAGCCATACACTCAAGGATACAGCATAGAACACTCTAATTCAGCATTTAAGGACTAAAGCAACTAAAACTTGCACTAAAATATAATTCATCTATTGTAAAAATCTCGACATATATTTCCCAATTCACTAGAGGTAAAGAGAAAGTGTATTTGCAAAAAACAAAATATTTCAATAGATGGCCATCAATCAAATTATTTGTTCCAGAACTTACACTTGGTTCAAAAGGGATAAATTCAGATGTAGCCCCCTCTCCTTTAACATAAGCAAAGAAAGAAAGTGTGCAAAATCTAGAGGTAAAATAATTTCTTGTTTAAGCTTTCACATTGCTTCAGAGTTGTCAAACTTCCCCATTATAAAAAGCTTTGAACTTCTGCTTGTTGAACCAAGATTCCCAAGAAACCACCAGGCATCATCACTATTTCTTTGATTTTGCAATCTTTAAGCCTCATGTGCCATGACCACAGTGAAAGGACTGAACAAAGAGCATACATATACTTAAGAAATCCCTAACATATGATTTTGAAGTGAATTTAAATTATTACTAAGCACCCTAACATCCTTTTTAGGTTTTTGTTATTTAAAAACAAACTAAGAAGTCAGAAAACCCAGGCTAAGAATCAATACTATCAGGTGAAGGGACTATGAAAGGAAGGTAATTTTGTGAAAAATTATCAGTAAAGCATTTTGGTTTAGGATTACCAAAGCTATAAAAAATGAGTTAGGTCTTTAAAGATGGAGTACGTGTGTAGGTATGTTTTCTTTTTTTCTTCTTAACCCAGGGAAAATGTGCCAACTTCATTATTTAAGAAGCTTTGAAGGGCTATATATTTTAATTATGCTGAAGAAGAAATATCTCCACACAATTGACCGCTCTTTCAAAAGTCAAGTAAGCAAATGAAAACTCACAGATCTCATTTAATAGCAAGAAAAATACTGACACTTCTATAGGTTACATATTTGCCTTTGGTTAATATCAGTAAATAAGGTTTGTATTATATATTATTAAAAGCGAATATAATATTAGAATCATATATTTTAAAAGGCAATTTTGAAAAGCATAGTGACAGGATTGTATTCCTTTTTTCTTTCAAAAAGAAAATCTAAAAGCTATATTTGTGTAATTTTTTTTACTTTCTATACTAGTAGATACACACTGAAGTCATAGTGAAATATAACTGATATAAAACATTTAAATGCCATTCTAAAATAAAACATAATTTATTATTTTAGAAGACACTATTGATGTCTACTGACCATTTTATTTGCCTGCCCCATATATGCTATTTTAAATATATTCTTTTTTAGAGTAAAAACAAATAT